TTGGGCATATTTGTGCCAAGTTTAGTCTGGATCCATCATTGTTTGAGTCCACAGTGCTCTCTGAATGTAGGCGAACTACAACTCCAAAACTCAAGGTCAATGCCCACCAAACCTTTCTGGTATTTTCTGTTCATCATGGGAGTTCTGTGTGCCAAGTTTGGTTCAATTCCATCATTGGTGGGGTTCAGAATGCTCTTTGATAGTAGGCAAACTATAAATCCCAGCAACTACAACTCCCAAATGTCAAGGTCTATTTTCCCCAAACTTCACCAGTGTTCACATTTGAGCATATTTGTGCCAAGTTAAGTCTGGATTCATCATTGTTTGAGTCCACTGTGCTCTCTGGATGCAAGTGAACTACAACTTCCAAACTCAAGGTCAATGACCACCAAACCCTTCCAGTATTTTCTCTTGGTCATGGGAGTTCTGTGTGCCAAGTTTGGTTCAATTTCATCATTGGTGAAGTTCAGAATGCTCTTTGATTGTAGGTGAACCATAAATTCCAGCAACAACAATTCCCAAATGATAAAATCAATATCCCCTTAACCCCACCAGTATTCAAATCTAGGCAAATTGGGTATTTGCTCCAAATTTGGTCCAGTGAGTGTGTTGGGCCTGTAACAGCTGTACTTTTCTATAGGACGTATACTTTAAGCCCAGCGGGAAGCCAGGGTGCCTCAAAGAGAGGTTCTCAGGGATTTTTCTGAAGTGATGGTCTTTAGAGTCTTTAATGATACAACAAAGTCTTTATTATGGAACAAACAACAAATCTTCAATGGTTCAAACAACACTTCAAGGCTTTCTTAGTCTAGTCCTCAATGGACTGGTACCTGACTTTGATTAACTAAACTTTCTCTGTAGGAAAAACCCTTTTTAACCTCTCCCAGGCTGCTTTCTATCTATGCCTCATCAGTGTGGGACCTACTACCGATTCCAAATGCGTCTGGGTATCGAGTAGACCTACCAGCCGAGGCTTGAAGATATTTCAGCTGGAGTTCCGTGGATCTGTAATGCTGTTCTCCCTTCGAGAATTCTTAGAAACTTCAGGACTGTTCCCTCTGATGCTGTGAGGCTGAGAGGCTGTGAGCTCTCAGCCAGAGCTTTTGGGATCTTTCTCCTGGAAAAATAACATCCCCAGATGTTATTTTTCCCTGGATGCTATTTTTCCCTGGATAGTTATTGAGAAAGGAAGCTTTTCTATGGGACAAGCTAGTCTACGTCCTATAGCTTAGCTACCTTGTGTGAGACTGCCCAAAAAATGGCTCCTGTCCCTCCCAGAGCCCTGAACAAGGGGCAGAACCAAAGCTTAATTATGATGGACAGGAGGCCTGCCCTATGACTGCAAAACAGATACCAGAAAGAAAATAAAGTTGGAGCTCCTGGTACAGCCGTAGCAACACAGAATGAAAATACACCCTACATATCAGATATTTACATTATGATTCATAACAGTAGCAAAATTATAGTTATGGAGTGTCAACAAAAATAATTTTATCGTTGGGGTCACCACAACATGAGGAACTATATTAAGGATCGCAACATTAGGAAGGTTGGGAAACACTGTCCTAGACTATCCTGTCCTGTGTGACTGCATGGAGCACAGTAGTTCAACATGAATAACTTTTCTGAGCTTTGGAGTACCATGAAAGTTCCTTTTCCACACCCTGGTCATGTCTCCTGAAAGACCCAACATTTAGAGCTAGCAAAGTGATCTGTTGGAGGAAGTGGTGCATCCTTTTTCGGTGTGTTTTTTTCCACCGCTGCAGTGAGCCAGGTGCTTTCTGAATGGAAACACAAGGCCTGAGCATTTCTTTGTTTTTGCAGCCCTTTAAAAATATATATATCTTCCAGTTTCAGAAGTTGGGAACCTGGAACAGAGCTCTGTGTTTATGGGATCATGCATGGAGGGGGAAGGATTTGCCTGGTTTGCACAACAGACAATACAAACCCAAGCCCAGGTTTTTGGCAACGGTAACAGAAGTCTCAAGAGGGATTTCGGTAATTATATGTTAAACTGGAAACCTGATCATATTTTTTGAAAAAATATATCTCATCTGTCTCTTTTTAAAAGATTGAAGTGCTCCAAAGCAACACGTAAAATGCATCAGAGACATAAACACACCAACGTTTGTGTGTGTGTGTGTGTGTAAAACATACACAAAGTGAAAAACACAGTCTTAACTAATTTTACATGGAGTTGCATTGCTTTAAATCAGAGACTGAACCAAAACAAGTCCTTGGGGGGTCTACAGCTCCCATTTATTCCCCAAAGCAGTCATAACTGGGGCAATCTGGGAATTTTAATAACCTTGGGTACTTCTACACTGAAGAATTAATGCAGTTTGACACTACTTTAACTGCAGTGGCTCAATGTGATGGAATTATGGGTATTGTAGTTGGGTGAAGCACCAAACCCTTTTTGGCAGAGAAGGATAAAGACTATGCTGTCACGCGCTGGGCCTATAGCAATTGGCTTTTGAACAGGACGTGCTCTTTCTGCCCAGCGGGAAGGTGGGGTGCCTCGGCTGAGAGGCCCTAAGGATTTTCCTATACAAAGTCTTTAGAAGCTTGAAAAGTTTAACAAAGTCCTTTATTATTGCTTAGGTCTTCAACAAACAATCAAATACTTTTTAGATCTTCAACAAGTCAAACAAATGCTTTTTATCTTGCCCGCAAAGGACAGGCAACTGGCTTCATGAACTGTTTCTTTTCTTTAAGAGGAAAACCCTTTTTAACCACTCCCTGGGGCAATCTGTTTTCTAGGCTCTGCCGGTGTGGGCCCTACTCCCGGCTCCAATTGCTTCTGGTTATCCGAGTAGACCTACCAGCCAAAACTTTGTAGATTTACCAGCTGGAGTCCTTTTGGAATTTTTCCACGAATGATGTGGAGCTGTTTCTTTAACCCCAACAAAGGTTGTGCTGTCAAACTGTTTTCCTTAGAAGCTTTAGGGCTGTGTCCCCTGGATGTTGTGAGAAACGAGGCTTCTCTACAGGTGGGGAAAGCTCACGTCCTGTAACTGGGCTTCCAAAACTGTAAAACTGCCTGAAGTCTTTCTTTTCCCTCCCAGATCCCTGGGGCAAGGGACGGAACCAAAAACTTAACGATGATTGATGGGTCATTGGCCCTATCATTGCAAACCAAAGGAAGCCACCTTATTGAAAAATTCATGGAACTTTGGAATACATGCAAACACTCAAAGAAAGAAAAGGAAGTACGAGCTCCTGGTACAACCGTACCAGAACAAAGACTATTATTATTGTGTTGTCGAAGGCTTTCATGACTGGAAACACTGGGTTGCTGTGAGTTTTCCGGGCTGTATGGCCATGTTCCAGAAGCATTCTCTCCTGACATTTCACCCTCTTCTTTGACAGGCATCCTCAGAGGTTGTGAAGTCTGTTGGAAACTGGGCAAGTGGGGTTTATATATCTGTGGGATGATGTCCAGTGTGGGAGAAAGAACTCTTGTCTGCTTGAGGCATGTTGCAAATGGTCACCTTGATTAGCATTTAATGGCCTTGTATCTTCAAAGTCTGGCTGGTTGCTGCCTGGGGGTTCTTTATTGAGAGGTGTTAGTTGGCCCTGATTGTTTCCTGCCTGGATTGCACATGCCATATGTGTGTGTGTGTGTGTGTGTGTGTGTGGAGTTACACTTTAAAATGTAGCTGTTTCTACTTTCATACAAATTCAACTTAAGAACAAACCTACAGAACTTATCTTGTCAGTAACTTGGAGACTGCCTATACTAAAAAAACCCTGTGATTTCACATATGCACAAACAGCAAAATATGCTCTCACTATTAATTATTTTTAAATGTTTAATTTTTTTATTGTGTAAACGTGGTATACATAATGTAAAGAAAATAAAGGAAATACATCAAATAGGTCATTCAGGAGATAGCATGGTAGGCTCCCACTGGAGATGACAATCAAGCTGTGATGGAGAACCTTGCAAATTCCCAGTGATGAGACCAAATGATGTTCCACATCAGGCAACAAATATCTGAATGCTTCTGCAGGGAAAGTTGCATCTGTATTGTCGAAGGCTTTCATGGCTGGAATCACTAGGTTCTTGTGGGTTTTTTCGGGCTATGGCCATGTTCTAGAGGCATTTTCTCCTGACGTTTCGCCTGCATCTATGGCAAGCATCCTCAGAGGTAGTGAGGTCTGTTGGAAATAGGACAATGGGTTTATATATCTGTGGAATGACTGGGGTGGGGCAAAGAGCTCTTCTCTGCTGGAGCTAGGTGTGAATGTTTTAACTGACCACCTTCATTAGCATTTGAAGGCCTGGCTGAGCCTGGGAAAATCTTTTGTTGAGAGGTGTTAAGATGTGCCTGGTTGTTTCCTCTCTGCTGTTTTGCTGTTGTAATTTTAGAGTTTTTTAATACTGGTAGCCAGATTTTGTTCATTTTCATGGTCTCTTCCTTTCTGTTGAAATTGTCCACATGCTTGTGGATTTCAATGGCTTCTCTGTGTAGTCTGACATGGTGGTTGTTGGTGTGGTCCAGCATTTCTGTGTTCTCAAATAACATGCTGTGTCCAGGCTGGTTCATCAGGTGCTCTGCTATGGCTGACTTCTCTGGTTGAAGTAGTCTGCAGTGCCTTTCATGTTCCTTGATTCATGTTTGGGCAATGCTGCGTTTGGTGGTCCCTATGTAGACTTGTCCACAGCTGCATGGTACACGGTAGACTCCTGCAGAGGTGAGAGGATCCCTCTTGTCCTTTGCTGAACGTAGCATTTGTTGGATTTTCTTGGTGGGTTTGTAGATTGTTTGTATGTTGTGTTTCCTCATCAGCTTCCCTCTTCGGTCAGTGGTTCCCTTGATGTATGGCAGGAACATCTGCTTGACTCACCCAAAGGGTTCCAAGTCAATATGCTTCTCAATTCTAGTCTTCATTTTTTCCCATCGCTGTCCAGTCCAATGAGAGTCACCCACTCACTTCACTCAAATGGGTTGACTGTGGCCAAGCCTCACCTGTTGGACTCTTCTCCTTTCTAGGAGGGAAGGCGAAGGCCTCCGCATCTTCTGGGACAAAGTGCGGGAGCCGAAATTCCTCTCTCGTTGGAACCCCTGGTCCACCGATGTCCCTTTTGCGACCTTCATTGAGCATCCGGTGAAGAACAGCAGCCAGAGGTTCAGCGCCATTTGCCAGGTGAGATACAGACAAAGGGAGTGACAGGTGCATCTACACTATACAATCAGTGCAGTTTGACATCACTTTAACGGCTATGGCTCAATGCTATGAAACCTTGGGATTTTGCAAAGTCCGGAGTTTCAGGGTGCGGTGTCACCTGTACGCAGATGATGTCCAACTCTGTCACTCCTTTCCACCTGTTACTAAGGAGGCTGTCCAGGTCCTGAACCGGTGCTTGGCCGCTGTGACGGTCTGGATGAGGGCGAACAAATTGAAATTGAATCCAGACAAGACAGAGGTCCTCCTGGCCAGTCGAAAGGCCAAACAGGGGATAGGGTTACAACCTGTGTTGGACGGGGTTACACTCCCCCTGAAGACGCAGGTTCACAGTTTGGGAGTAATCCTGGACTCATCACTGAGCCTGGAACCCCAAGTCTCGGTGGTAGGGAACTTTTGCACAATTAAAACTTGTGCGCCAGCTGCGCCCGTACCTTGGGAAGTCTGACTTGGCCACGGTGGTCCATGCTCTGGTTACATCCCGTATAGACTACTGCAATGCTCTCTATGTGGGGTTGCCTTTGAAGACTGTTCGGAAGCTTTAAATGGTCCAACGGGCGGCAGCCAGGTTGCTAACAGGAGCGGCACTCAGGGAGCATACAACTCCTGTGTTGCACCAGCTCCACTGGCTGCCAATCTGCTGTTGTTGTTGTTGTTCATTCGTTCAGTCGTCTCCGACTCTTCGTGACCTCATGGACCAGCCCACGCCAGAGCTCCCTGTCGGCCGTCACCACCCCCAGCTCCTTCAAGGTCAGTCCAGTCACTTCAAGGATGCCATCCATCCATCTTGCCCTTGGTCGGCCCCTCTTCTTTTTGCCTTCATTTTCCCCAGCATAATTGTCTTCTCTAGGCTTTGCTGTCTCCTCATTATGTGGCCAAAGCACTTCAACTTTGTCTCTAGTATCCTTCCCTCCAATGAGCAGTCGGGCTTTATTTCCTGGAGGATGGACTGGTTGGATCTTCTCGCAGTCCAAGGCACTCTCAGAACTTTCCTCCAACACCACAGCTCAAAAGCATCTCTCTTCCTTCGCTCAGCCTTCCCTAAGGTCCAGCTCTCACATCCGTAGGTGACTACAGGGAAGACCATGGCTTTGACTAGGCAATGGATCTTTGTTGCCAGTCTGATGTCTCTACTCTTTACTATTTTATCGAGACTGGACATTGCTCTCCTCCCAAGAAGTAGCCAATCTGCTACCGAGCACAATTCAAAGTGCTGGCTTTAGCCTATAAAGCCCTAAACGGTTCCGGCCCTGCTTACCTGTCCGAACGTATTCCCCTTACGAACCCTCTAGGAATTTAAGATCTTCTGGGGAGGTCCTGCCATCTTCACAGGCTCGATTGGCGGGGACGAGGGATAGGGCCTTCTCAGCAGTGGCCCCTCGGTTGTGGAATGCCCTCCCCAGGGACATTAGATCAGCCCCCACCCTCTTAACGTTTCGCAAAAAAGTTAAAACCTGGCCATATGAGCGCAGTGTAGCTATGAAACTCTGATCTCTGAACGGTTGGACAATGTGACTGGATAATGACTGGTAATGAAATGCGGAGGACTTATGGTTTTTATTATGTTTATTGATGTTAATTGTAATGAATTTTTAAATCCATGTTAAATGTTTTTAATGTTTAAATTATTTTTGTACTGTTGTGGGCATCGAATTGTGCCACCATGAGTTGCCCTCGGGCTGAGAGTGGCGGTATAGAAGCATAGTAAATAAATAAATAAATAAATAAATAAATAAATAATAAAGTCTTTAGCCATCTCTTCCAGAGAGTGCTAAACTACAACTTCAGGATTGTATAGCATGGAGCTATGGCACTTAAGTGGTGTCAAACTGCATTCACACTATAGTGTGGGACCCCACATTGTAGTGTGAACAAGAGAGATCCCTCCATGCTTTCTTCAGGGGAACACTTCCCAGAATTGACTGGAAATGGAAGGGGAAGCTGCCAAGAGAAGGTGAAGCACCATTTCCCAAAACAAGGGCATAGAAGAGGAAGGAGGGGGGTTTTTTTTTCCGTTTTTTTACATTTATGGGACAAAACAAATTTTGTGGACAAATGATTTCCAAGAAAACCTCTGATTCACTGAAAACTAACATTGTTCATGCTTCACGGACTGAAAGAAATCCAGCAGACTTTGAAAGGGAAAGTCAGGAGCATAGTTTCCAGGCAACGCTCCTTGGAAGAATAGCAAATAAACTCCAATATCCCACTCTCCTGACTGAACTGAATAAACTTCAGCTTTCCATATGTTTTTGTTGTTGTTCATTCATTCAGTCGTTTCCAACTCTTTGTGACCTCATGGACCAGGCCACGCCAGAGCTCCCTGTCAGCCGTCACCACCCCCAGCTCCTTCAAGGTCAGTCCAGTCACTTCAAGGATGCCATCCATCCATCTTGCCCTTGGTTGGCCCCTCTTCCTTTTTCCTTCCACTTTCCCCAGCATGATTGTCTTCTCCAGGCTTTGCTGTCTCCTCATGATGTGGCCAAAGGACTTCAACTTTGTCTCTAGTCTCCTTCCCTCCAGTGAGCAGCCGGGCTTTATTTCCTGGAGGATGGACTGGTTGGATCTTCTTGTGGTCCAAGGCACTCTCAGAACTTTCTTCCAGCACCACAGTTCCAAAGCATTTTTCTTCCTTTGCTCAGCCTTCCTTATGGTCCAGCTCTCACATCCGTAGGTGACCATGGGGAATACCAAGGCTTTAACTATGCGGATCTTGGTTGCCAGTGTGATGTCTCTACTCTTCACTCTTTGATCGAGATTGGTCCTTGCTCTCCTCCCAAGAAGGAAGTGTCTCCTGATTTCCTGGCTGCACTCTGCATCTGCAGTCATCTTTGCACCTAGAAATACAAAGTCTGTCACGGCCTCCACGTTTTCTCCCTCTATTTGCCAGTTGTCAATCAATCATGATAGCCATGTATAAATATGTGAGAGGAAGCCACAGGGAGGAGGGAGCAAGCTTGTTTTCTGCTTCCCTGGAGACTAGGACGCAATGGAACAATGGCTTCAAACTACAAGAGAGGAGATTCCTCCTGAACATAAGGAAGAACTTCCTGACTGTGAGAGCCGTTCAGCAGTGGAACTCTCTGCCCCGGAGTGTGGTGGAGGCTCCTTCTTTGGAAGCTTTTAAACAGAGGCTGGGTGGCCATCCGTCAGGGGTGATTTGAATGCAATATTCCTGCTTCTTGGCAGAATGGGGTTGGACAGGATGGCCCATGAGGTCTCTTCCAACTCTTTGATTCTGTGATTCTATGATTCTTGTTGCCATAATCTTGGTTTTTTGGATGTTTAGCTGCAAACCAGCTTTTGTGCTGTCTTCTTTCACCTTGGTTGGAAGGTGAAAGAATGTTACAGCATCACAACTCCTATCAGCTCTGGTCATGATGTTTAATGTGCAGAAAGTCAGCCATTGAAATCCAGCATCTGAGGGCCACATAAAATGACGTGGCGGGCTGCATTTGGCCTCCAGGCCTTGCTTTTGACCCATGTGGTGTTTGACGCATGTGCATCCCTGGATGGAGGGAAGAGCATCAAGGAGTGGCTGGCTGTGGAGAAGTGGCATGACCTGAAATGCAAAGCGCTTCCCACTCTTCCCAAGAGCCTGTCTCCGTCGTATCTTGGCAGCCGACATTAATCTGGAAAATCCCAAGCGCAGTTGCATTTGAGGCCTCGGCGCGCCTGTCTCCAGAGATTTGCATCCTTGTGATGATGCATCCGTGACCCTCCTGCCAGTTTGGCACACCTCCGAGGTGCAGCCGACTTAGGGCAAGCTGACAAATCGAATTCATGTATCCCTTTTTGATGCAGAGTTTGACAGAAGATGGCCGTCTGTTTCCCAGGTTAAATCTGTGCTCTTCACAGGGAAAAGATTCTCAAAATACTTTCCAAAAGCAGGATTTTGAAGCATCCGATTTGGGCCTGGAGAGAACTTTTAAATGCCTGGAAATCACCTTCTGCCCTGGCTTCCAAAGATGCCTGGGGAATGGAAACACCACACCCAAAGCATACACACACACACACATCCGTGACCCTTCTGCCATCTTGGTACACACACACACACACACATTCCTACCCCATTCTGCCAAGAAGCAGGAAAATCACATTCAAAGCACCCCCAACATTAAATTAAATACGGACTATAAGATTTTGGCGAACATATTGGCAGAGAGAGTAAAAAATTTCTTAAGAAACTGGATTGAAGAAGACCAAACAGGATTTCTACCAAATAGATTTATGAAGGATAACAAAAGGCTAGTATTGGATCTAATAGAATATTATGAACAGAATCATCGAAAAGAATTTGCCATACTAGCCTTGGACTCAGAGAAGGCTTTTGATAACCTAAATTGGGATTTCTTTAAGATATTAATACAAGAACTGGACATGGGAGATAAATTTACTAATGCAATAAAAGCGATATATGATTTACAAAAGGCTAAACTAAGAATAAATGGTCAAAGCACCCCCAACAGATGGCCATCCAACCTCTGTTTAATAACTCCAAAGAAGGAGCTTCCACTACACTGGGGCAGAGAGTTCCACTCCTAAACAGTTCCCTCTCACAGTTAGGAAGGTTTTCCTCATGTTGAGTTGAATGAATGATATTGTTACAATGCCAATGAAATGCACTAAAAGCACTGTCCTAATAATAAATAAATAGTAAAAGAAACCATGAAAATGAACAAAATCTGGCTACCAATATTAAAAAAACCTCTAAAATTACAACAGCACAACAACAGAGAGGAAACAAACAAGGACATCTAATCACCTCTCAACAAAAGATTGCTCCAGGCACTGCCAGGCCATCAAATGCTAATCAAGGAGACCAATTGAAACATTCACACCTAGCTCCAGCAGAGAAGAGTCCTTTGTCCCACTCTGGTCATTCCACAGATATATAAACCCCTTTTCCTAGTTCCAACAGACCTCACTACCTCTGAGGATGCTTGCCATAGATGCAGGCGAAACGTCAGAAGAAAATACCTCTAGAACATGGCCATATAGCCCGAAAAACCCTACAACAACACATTCACACCTAGTCCAGCAGACAAGAGTCCTTTGTCCGACCCTGGTCTTTCCACAGATATATAAACCCATTTTCCTAGTTCCAACAGACCTCACTACCTCTGAGGATGCTTGCCATAGATGCAGGCAAAACGTCAGGAGAGAATGCCTCTAGACCATGGCCATATAGCCCGAAAAAACCTACAACAACACATTCACACCTAGCTCCAGCAGACAAGAGTCCTTTGTCCCACCCTGGTCATTCCAGAGATATATAAACCCATTTTCCTAGTTCCAACAGACCTCGCTACCTCGGAAGATGCTTACCATAGATGCAGGCAAAACGTCAGGAGAGAATGCCTCTAGACCATGGTCATATAGCCCGAAAAAACCTACAACAACCCAATAGTAAAAGACTTTTAAAAGTAATTAGTTTTTTATGTTAAGTAGAATGTACATTAAATTACTTATGCTGTTAGGACACTAAGCACAGTAATGTTGAAAACGGCACACCAAAAGCAGAAAATCATAGAATCCTAGAGTTCGAGGAGACCTCATGGGCCATCCAGTTCAACCCCAATCTGCCAAGAAGCAGGAAAATCACATTCAAAGCACCCCCAACAGATGTCCATCCAGCCTCTGCTTAAAAGCCTCCAAAGCAGGAGCCTCCTCCACACTCCGGGGCAGAGAGTTCCACTGCTGAATGGCTCTCACAGTCAGGAAGTTCTTCCTCATGTTCAGATGGAATCTCCTCTCTTGTAGTTTGAAGCCGTTGTTCCGCGTCCTAATCTCCAGGGCAGCAGAAAACAAGTTCGCTCCCTCCTCCCTATGACTTCCTCTCACATATTTGTCCATGGCTATCATGTCTCCTCTCAGTCTTGTCTTCTGCAGGCTAAACATACCCAGCTCTTTAAGCCAGTCCTCATAGGGTTTGTTCTCTAGACCCTTGATCTTGTTGTGTATAGTAATAATAGGTTAGAACTTGAACCTATTATTATAGGTTCGAACTCATGACCTATTGGACAGTAATGATCTTAATGCAGGTGACTCCGAGCCGGCTGTGCCACAGTCCCGGTGCTATATAGTTTGAAAGGGTGTCACATTGAGGAAGAGCTAAGGCTTGCTTTCTGCTGCTCCGGAGACTAGGTCACCATGGAATTGTGGAGTCGAACTGCAGGAGAAAAGAGATTCCACCAAAATCTGAGGAAGAACTTCGTGATAAGAACTTTTTGACAGGAGCATATTACTTACTAACTTACTTACTTACTTACTTAGGCAATTCCTCATTGTCCAGGTAGGATAGCCTTCCAAGATCGGTGTACTGGTGGTGGGTCCATAGGTGACTGTGGAGCCCTATGCTTGATCTGCATCTTCTCCCACAGTGAGGACATCAGTTTCTGGGTGGAAGGTGGTCCCGGTTGGGGTTGGCTTGATGCACCTTCCTCTTGGCACGTTTCTCTCTTTTGCCCTCCATTCATGCCTCTTCAAATTCTACAGCACTCTTGGTCACAGCTGACCTCCATCTGGAGTGCTCAAGGGCCAGGAGCATATGATGCTTGGGCATCCAATGGAGTGTCCTTCTCTAGAGTATTTTAAACAGAATGGCCATCTGTCGGGAGGGATTGGATGGTGTCTTCCTTCCTAACAGAAGGAGGTTGGACTGGATGACCTTTGGGACCTCTTCCAACACCACTTTATGATCCCCCCACTTATGTCTCTCATTCTGTTGCTCCTTGGAGAGTTTTGGCCGCTCTCTGCGGCTCCTGGTTTGGAGTAACACAATCCCTTTGTGTTCCCGGCATTCTGGGCAGCTTGTTTTTCATCATCCTTAACATCTTTTGAAGGTGTTAAGAACTGGATCTCAGTCATGTCCTGATGTTTTTTGGGAAAGGGGCGAGAGTGCAGCCAAGGGATAAGAGAAAGACAGGCACATGTCCCAAGGCATTGACACGGAGACAAGGTGGATCCAGTTACTCCATAACACTCGTTTGGGGGAGCCAAGCATTTGCTGGACCTTCTGGGCAGGTTGCTGTTACCCTCTCCTGCTTGTTACTCATTGCAGGGAATGTTGTCGTGAGTGACGCACAAATTGCTCCCGGTCCCTGGCTGGGTTTCATCATTCCTGCCAGAGTATTTTTAATCCACCCTGACAGACATCCATCAGCAAGCAGGGCATTCAACACGTCTGTTTCCTTCTTTTCCTGGAGATACCCATCAAAATAATAGGATCCTAGACCTAGAAGGGACCCCAAGGGCCATCCAGTCCAATCTCAGTTCTACTCGGGAGGAAGGCACAATCAAAGCCCTCCCAGCAGATGGCCATCCAGCCTCTGCTGCAAAACCTCCAGAGAATCATGTTGTTGTTCATTCGTTCAGTCATCTCCGATTCTTCGTGACCTCATGGAGCAGCCCACGCCAGAACTCCCTGTCGGCCGTCACCACCCCCAGGGTCTCCTTCAAGATCAGTCCAGTCACTTCAAGGATGCCATCCATCCATCTTGCCCTTGGTCGGCCCCTCTTCCTTTTTCCTTCCACTTTCCCCAGCATAATTGTCTTCTCCAGGCTTTCCTGTCTCATCATGATGTGGCCAAAGGACTTCAACTTTGTCTCTAGTATCCTTCCCTCCAGTGTCCTCCTTAGGAAAGGGAATTGTCCTTGGTGGATTTCAAAGCCCGATCCTCCTCAGAGGAAATCCTTAACTATTTCAAGGTCTTTAGAGTTATCTGTTGCCATTCTTTTTCTCATGTGAACATTCAATTTTATACTTGATTTTGCATTCTGTCCTTAACTTTAATCAGTAGTCATTTGAAACCTTTGCTATTCTTTGCAAGTAATATGGTATCTGGTTTGTTGTGGGGTTTTTTTTTGGGCTATATGGCCATGTTCTGGAGGCATTCTCTCCTGACGTTTTGCCTGCATCTATGGCAAGCATCCTCAGAGATAGTGAGGTCTGTTGGAACTAGGAAAATGGATTTATATACCTGTGGAATGACCAGGGTGGSACAAAGGACTCTTGTCTGCTGGAGCTAGGTGTGAATGTTTCAACTGATCACCTTGAGTAGCATTTGATTGCCTGGCAGTGCCTGGAGCAATCTTTTGTTGAGAGGTGATTAGATGTCRTTGTTTGCTTCCTCTCTGTTGTTGTGCTGTTCTAATGTTACCAGTATTAAAAATGAACAACATCTGGCTACCAGTATTAAAAAAAACTCTAAAATTAGAACAGCACAACAGAGGAAACAAACAAGGATATCTAATCACCTCTCAACAAAAGATTGCTCCAGGCACTGCCAGGCAATCAAATGCTAATCAAGGTGATCAGTTGAAACATTCACACCTAGCTCCAGCAGACAAGAGTCCTTTGTCCCACCCTGGTCATTCCACAGGAATATAAACCCTTTTCCTAGTTCCAACAGACCTCACTACCTCTGAGGATACTTGCCATAGATGCAGGTGAAACGTCAGGAGAAAATGCCTCTAGCACATGGCCATATATCCCGAAAAAACCTACAGCAACCAAGTGTTTCCGGCCATGAAAGCCTTTGACAATACATTAATACAGTATCGTCTGCATACCTTATGTTGTCAGTGTTATGTAATGTTTCAGCTACCTTTTTGTAAAAAAAATGTATCCATGAATTCTTGTTTTCTACATAGTTTTCTCTTGATCTACAGAAACATAAGCTTTGCCATAACACAGCCCAACAACAACAACAACACTTTATTTATATTTACGGCTAGTAAATAAATAAATAATATGTCACACTCTCCTTCTGCAGCTCTCCGCATTCACATCTCAGCTGGTCCCAGCGGTCCAAAATGCCCAGCGGAAGGATCCGGTGCCCGGCCGAACCACAGGCATTGAAGTGGTGGACGAACCCATCTTCATTGACACCTTAACGGGGCTGATGTCGTTCTTTGGGAACCGGAACAAACTGGGTTATTCCCTCGCTCGGGGCAGCTTCGGTTTCTGAAGTGCAAAAAAGTCGGGATTTTTTCCTCTTCTTATTGAACAATGTTTGCTTTTTCATGTGTCTCTTGCAAAGTTGCAAGGTTGGGGTTCAGAGGTCTTTTGAATACCTGGTCTTGGGGTGCATCTACACAGTAGGATTAATGCAGTTTGGGTTCACCAGAACTGCCGTGGCTCCATAATACAGAATTATGAGAATTGCAGTCACAAGGTCTTCAGTCTTCTATACCAAAGTGTGCATATGCCTCACCAAACTATAATTCCCAGGATTGCATAATAATGAGCTACGTTAGTTAAAGTGGTGTTAAGAACTACATTAGGGGGTTGAATGAAAAGTAATGCCTCCACCTTCGTTGCTTGGGTTTGGATGGGAATATTTTAATAAATCAAACGCAGAAATAAACCTTAGAATTATTCAAGTACCACTATTCACTTTTCTAAATAATCACCAGACAATTGGATACATTTCTGCCAACAATGGACAAGTTTTCTGAAGCCGTCACAGAAGAAGTCGGCACTCTGTTTCTGCAACCAGCGTCCCACAGTTCTCTCAATGTCTTCATCAGAAGCATCATGATGTCCCCGCAGATCTTTTTTCATTATCAGATGGAAGTCAGTAACACCTGGGGTGTCGAGAATTCAATGACTGCACACTGCTTAAGTCGCATTGACTGACCATCTGTGCAGGGTTCCATACTTGCACTTTAACAACACAACCATTTAATGCTAAGGCTTCCCGCCAAAATGGAACTGTAGAGGAGAGTCTACTGAACAAGCCAGTACCTGCGGCATACCAGTACTGCCATCCGTTGAGGAGTTACGAAGGCGGAGGCATTACTTTTCATTCAACCCTCATAGTTCTGTAGTATGGATGCATCCATAGGAGCCACCAGAAGAAGTGACAGGATGGGCAGCAAATCCATTCTGGGTCTTAGTCTGAACATTAGTAGTGCTGAATCTTAAGGGCCACTGCAGAATTAATTCGGCTTCATATCAATTTAATTAACTGGGAGTTGTAGTTTTGCAAGAGCGTTAGTTTTATACCTTGGCATTGAGCCATAGCAATTGATGTGCTGCCAAATTGAATTAATTCAACAGTGTGGTTGAGAAAATAAGCTAGAAGAAGCACACCATTGCTTTCTATTGTCTTGCCTTTGTTGATTGTGGTTTGCAAAAGTGAATAAATTTATTTTCCCCTTTGCAGTTGTGCCTCTCAAGAGTCTCTTTTCTGATCAACAATGGTCCGGCTACCAGATCACCATATTTCTCCAGATCCATATGTGGTGGGACTGTGAAAAGCTAAAACATGTCTACAACAAGATTATGGATGAGATGAAAGAATTATTACAGAGAAAAACTGGATTAATGCATTGTCAAAGGCTTTCATGGCCGGAATCACTGGGTTGTTGTGAGTTTTCTGGGCTGTCTGGCCATGTTCTAGAAGCATTCTCTCCTGATGTTTCACCTGCATTTGTGGCACGCATCCTCAAGGGTTGTGAGATCTGAGTTGTAGGTTTTTCAGGCTGTCTGGCCATGTTCCAGAAGCATTCTCTCCTGACATTTCGCCTGCATCTATGGCAGGCATGCTCAGAGGTTGTGACGTCAACAACCCAGTGATTCCAGCCATGGAAGCCTTTGGCAATACAGTGAGGTCTGTTGGAAACTAGGAAAATGGGGTTTATATATCTATGGAATGACCAAGGTGAGAGAAAGAACTCTTGTCTGCTGGAGCTAGGTGTGAATGTTTCAACTGATCACCTTGAGTAGCATTTGATTGCCTGGCAGTGCCTGGAGCAATCTTTTGTTGAGAGGTGATTAGATGTCCTTGTTTGCTTCCTCTCTGTTGTTGTGCTGTTCTAATGTTACCAGTATTAAAAATGAACAAAATCTGGCTACCAGTATTAAAAAAAACCTCTAAAATTACCAAGGTGGGAGAAAGAACTCTTGTTTGTTGGAGCTAGGTGTGAATGTTTCAATTGGCCACCTTGATTAGCATTTGATGACCTCGCAATTTCAAGGTGTGGCTTATTACTGCCTGGGGAAATTCTTTGTTCAGGGGTAATTAGCTGACCCTGATTGTTTCATGTCTGGCAAGCATGTGAACAATTTCAATAGAAAGGAAGGAACAGTGAAAATGAACAAAATCTGGCTACCAGTATTAAAAACTCTAAACAGCCAAGACTAAAAAAAAAAAAAAACAACACAAACAAACAACTCCAAAGAAACAATCAGGGCCAGCTAACACCTCCCAACAAAGGATTCCCCTAGACAGTAAGCAGCCAGACCTTGAAGCTGCTGGGCCATTAAATGCTAATCAAGGTGGCCAATTGAAACATTCACACCTACCTCGAACAGGCATGAGTTCTTTCTCCCACCCTTGACCCAGACCCAACAAGGAGGGCCCGCTACTTTGGTGAACGAAAAAGAAGACACGCAATATGGAATTTCCCTGATTTCCCAAATAAATGTCACCAAAGTTGAAGAAAACACCACCGAGTTGCTTTATTGCAATCCAGCTGGAAAGGATGCAAAGCCGCGATATTTTGTCAGGCAAGCATACATTCAATACAAAGTTGTATCTATATATATAAATTTGTTAGGGGCATCCAACAAGGAAACAAAACTCAAAAAACCCCCAACGAAACTTAACCAAAATTCCCATGCCCATAACACAACCCACAAGGTACAAACATATCTACTCAAAATGAAAAACAACACAACAACACACTCACAAAACGGCAAAAAAACAAAACTCAAAAACCCCCCAACGAAACTTAACCAAAATTCCCATGCCCATAACACAACCCACAAGGTACAAACATATTACTCAAAATGAAAAACAACACAACAACACACTCACAAAACGGCAAAACAACAAAACTCAAAAATCCCCCAACGAAACTTAACCAAAATTCCCATGCCCATAACACAACCCACAAGGTACAAACATATCTACTCAAAATGAAAAACAACACAACAACACACTCACAAAATGGCAAAACAACAAAACTCAAAAACCCCCAACGAAACTTAACCAAAATTCCCATGCCCATAACACAACCCACAAGGTACAAACATATCTACTCAAAATGAAAAACAACACAACAACACACTCACAAAACGGCAAAAGGATAAAACTCTAAAAAAAACAACGAAACTTAACCAAAATTCCCATGCTCATAACACAACCCACAAGGTACAAACATATTACTCAAAATGAAAAACAACACAACAACACACTCACAAAACGGCAAAACAACAAAACTCAAAAAACCCCCAACGAAACTTAACCAAAATTCCCATGCCCATAACACAACCCACAAGGTACAAACGTATCTACTCAAAATGAAAAACAACACAACAACACACTCACAAAACAGCAAAACAACTGAGCATGCGCATTGGCGCCCAGCCGCAAGTTCCCTGGCGCACACACATGCCCTTCCGGCCAACGTTCCCTCTGCGGAAACCATGCCCACTCCAAGCCCCGCCGCGCCGCTTCCTGCACACACACACACCCCTGCCGCACATACACACACAACCCCACACTCCATCACTCCCCGCCCCACACACGCAACCCCACTCCCCCCCGCGCACACACACACACACACACACACGCAACCCCACGCTCCATCACTCCCCCCGCCGCCGCACGCACACACGCACCCCCACTCCCCCCGCCGCCGCACACACACACGCAACCCCACGCTCCATCACTCCCCCCGCCGCCACACACACACACACACACACACAACCCCACACTCCATCACTCCCCTGCCCCAACGCACACACGCACCCCCACTCCCCCCGCCGCCGCACACACACACGCAACCCCACACTCCATCACTTCCCCCGCTGCCGCACGCACACACGCAACCCCACTCCCCCCGCCGCCGCACACACACGCAACCCCACGCTCCATCACTCCCCCTGCCGCCACACGCACACACGCAACCCCACTCCCCCCCGCCGCACACACACACACAACCCCACGCTCCATCACTCCCCTGCCCCAATCTTACCTCCTTTTACTTCATGCCACCTCCAAACCCCACCCCGCCCCTTCCCGCCCTGTCAAAATCCAGGAAAGACAGGAAGGAAGGAAAGAAGGAAGAAAGAGAAAGGGAGGTAAAGAAAAAGGGGGAAGGAAGGAAAGTTAGAGAAAGAAGGAAGAAGGAAAGGAAAGAAAAGGAAAGATGGAAGGAAAGAAAAGAGAGACAGCAGAAGAGAAAGAAAAAGGGGGAAGGAAGGAAAGAGAAAAAGAGGAGAAGGAAAGATGGGAGGGAAGGAAGGAAGGAAGGAGGGAAAGAAGGAGAGAAAGAGGGAAGATTGGCCACAGCAACACGTGTTGGGTAAAGGTTGTTATTTCTATTATTATTATTATTATGCTATTGTTCCTATGAGACCCTGGGGGAATGGGAGAGGTGTCAGGTCCCAGAGGCAATGCATTGCATTATTGTTATTGTTATGATGGTGGTAAAATAAAAGGAAATAAAAAGTGAAAGAAGGAAGCAAACAGGGAGGGAAGAAAGGCAAAGGAAGAAAGGGGGAGGGAATGAAGGAAAGAGAGAAGGATGAAACCAAGTAGTGAAAGAAAGAAAGAGGTAGAGAAGGAAGAAAGGAGAGAAAGGGGGAGGAAAAGGAGGAAGGAATAGGTAGGTACCTCTCTTTCATAATAGTCCAGATATCTACCTCAACTTTGATAAGTTTTACTATAGGCCACAGCAACGCGTGGCAGGGCACAGCTAGTTTTATAGAAAATACAGACCTGTAGATTTCAAATTCCCCGCCACCCACCCACCCGCCATCCCCGCCGCCCACCCATCAGCCAGCTTGCTTGCACGTTTAACAGCTAAGAGAGGCTTGGTGGCCAATCAGCAAGGCGCTGTCACCTCGGTCCTGGCCAACCAGGAGAAGGGGAGGTAGGACGAGCAAAGACAAGGAATAGATGAATGGATTAATGTCCCAATTGTTCTTGGATCCAGATTTTTCCTGCAACTGGCCTTGGAAACAATAAGCATGATCTGTGTAGCTGTTTCGGTGTGGAAGTAAACAAAGGATGAAGCAACTGGGGACTTGTTTGTCCCTTGTGTCTTGATGGGATCAACCAGACGGATGTAAGCCCCAAGAGGTCCAGCTTCGAGGCTTGGGACATATTTCCTTTATATTGTCCATGCAAGTAGTTTCTGTCAGGATCCCTTTCAATCAAAGGATCATCTTCTCAGAGGAATGTGAAGTTCCTCTGAGAAGATGGAACTTCTGGAAAGAAGTGACGAGTGGAGTGCCATCAGCAGGCTTTGGGTGCTGGGGTCACAAAGAGTGGCATTTCGTATTTCATATAAGGGGTATGGGGAAGGGGGAAACATGCAAGGGAATCATATGAGGGTACATTCATATAAAGAGAAAGAGCCCATCTCCACCTCCCCCCACCCACCAAAGTCCATTGGGAATTCATAAAGCCATTTTGAGAGCCCATGGGGCTGGGGAGAGGAACAAGTTTTAAAAAGTCCAAAGGTTCATGGGGCTTGAAAAGGTAAAGTTTCCAAGAGTCCTCCAGAAGGAAAAAAAGTCCCATAAAAGTTCAAGAGAGTACATAAGTGTAAAGGGAGGTGGTTTCTCAGTAATAAATGTGTTAAAGGTAAAGGTAAAGGTTTTCCCCTGACATTAAGTCCAGTCATGTCTGACTCTGGGGTGTGGTGCTCATCTCCATTTCTAAGCCGAAGAGCCAGCGTTGTCCATAGACACCTCCAAGGTCATGTGGCTGGCATGACTGCATGGAGCGCCGTTACCTTCCCGCCGGAGCGGGACTTATTGATCTACTCACATTTGCATGTTTTCGAACTGCTAGGTTGGCAGAAGCTAGGGCTGACAGCGGAAGCTCACGCTGCTCCACGGAATCGAACCTGCGACCTTTCGATCAACAAACTCAGCAGCTCAGTGCTTTAACCCACTGCGCCACCGGGGGCTCCTTACAATAAATGTGTTACCTTCTGCTATATATGAAACCTAGGGCATAAAACCTTGATTAAACGTACACACTATCTGGCATGGGAAGGGTCCCTGTTGTGGTTGTTAGTGTCTTTGCAAATTGACCAAGACTTGACCCCTATTATCCAGCCTGATGTCCTTGTCCTTAGCAAAACTATAAGTTACTATCTCTTATGGGGGGGGGGAAGAGAGAGAGATCATG